GGAGATGTAGTCAAATCGAGCGTTAATACTTTGCTCTCCAAACATTCGCCTACCTATAATTCACATATAACAAATTTAATCGACTAAGATACTGACAAAGACATAAAATGATTTATGATCAAAAATTACTTACATCCGGGCAAATTCCGATAAGTGCATCCGCGTGCGAATAAAATTCCTCTTTCAACGATATGACAATTGTCTGCAGCGAACTTGTTTTGTCGCGAATGTAACTAGCCACTTTTCCTATATTAGTATTATCGAGAGCCGCATCGATTTCATCCAGAACAAAGAATGGTGCAGGCTGGAAACTATATAAAGAATATAAACGAACAATGAATTTTAATTGATCATTCATCATATTCGAATTATATCATCAATTTTATGTTCAAAATCAAAATATGAACCTGTGAATTGCAAATAACAAAGCCAGTGCAGCGACAGTTTTTTCTCCACCAGACAAATTGGACATTGGTTGAAACCGTTTGCCAGGAGCCACGCAATTATAATTAATGCCATCTAAATAAGGTTCTTCAGGATTTTCTGGTCCAAGGAATGCTTGAGCAGATTGATTCTTCGCTAGACTCTAGAATCATAATATACGTAAAAATATACATATACATATAATAAAATATATTTATATAAATTATAAACTTATCTGTACATGTAGAGATTTTTACATAAATTTATTGCTTCACAAACCTTATAAATAGGATCAATCTCGTTCGCTACGTGTTCAAAACACGCCATGAATCTGTCATGTCGTTCTTTTTTCACTTTCTCGAATTGTGTCTTCGCTTTCTTTGCTTTTTTACGAGACTGCTCAAATTCTTCATTAGTCTCCTGTAATTTCTCTTTCGCTAAATATAATTTTTGAATTGCCTAAAAGAGAAAAAATTTCATGTCTTTATAACTTTTTACATTTATCGACATATCATTTCCAGTATATTGCGAACCTTCATATTTGGAGCTTGTATGCGCTGTATTGTATTTTGTAAATCATTGATTATTTTTGTTAGCTTATCAGTTGTCTTTTTGATATCCTCTTCTTCCACATCTTTCAGATTTTCGGGCAAAAGTGTATAGTCTATAGTAATTCTCTTTTCGCGTTCATACTGTTGTTGCGTACTTACTGATGAATCATTATTAATTTCACTTCCGTTCGTAGTGCTCGTTTCACCTGCTATATCTTCCATATTTCCGTACAGCATAGGTATTGCAATATCTTC